CATATAGCAGACAGTACTATTACATTTATATAGATAACATACAACAGACAGTACTATTATATTTATATAGATAACATATAGCAGACAGTACTATTACATTTATATAGATAACATACAACAGACAGTACTATTACATTTATACAGATAACATATAGCAGACAGTACTATTACATTTATATAGATAACATACAACAGACAGTACTACTACATTTATACAGATAAAATACAACAGACAGTACTATTACATTTATACAGATAACATACAACAGACAGTACTATTACATTTATATAGATAACATACAACAGACAGTACTATTACATTTATATAGATAACATACAACAGACAGTACTACTACATTTATATAGATAGCATACAACAGACAGTACTATTACATTTATATAGATAACATGCAACAGACAGTACTATTATATATATCTGTGTACGTGTGTGTGTAATAGATTTTGAATGTAATGAATAACTTACCCAGTACTAGTCCTCCGATGCCTCCAGCTGCTTCAATATTTCGTGCCTACAATATAAACAAATGAAACTTGTATGAATGCAAGGCATCATAAATAATTCTATATGTATGTGTTGTTAACACATAACTCTTAGATCACTTACATTTAATTATTAATTAATAGTGGCTGTATCTTGTTAGATGATTGAACAGGTTACTAACAATGACAATAATTGATCATTGTAACTCTGATGACTATTTCTTTATTAATAGTGGCCTGTATCTTGTTAGATGATTGAACAGGTTACTAACAATGACAATAATTGATCATCATAACCCTGATGACTATTTCTCTATTAATAGTGGCCTGTATCTTGTTAGATGATTGAACAGGTTACTAACAATGGCAATAATTGATCATCATAACCTTACTGTAAGTATTTGCTACATGACAATAATTTACCATACAGAATTATTTTGTTTTAATAATTTCAAATAAGCATACAAAATCATTTAATTACAAACACTGCCTCAACTACAAAACCAAATTCAAAAACTCTCATCTTAAACCTGTTATGAACTGGTTTAAGGGTGAGTGTTATCAATTAGAAAAAATTCAAACTGTGACACCCATACTTCTAAACATGAAGGCCACTGATTTAAAAGTTACCACAATCAGTAACCATACATTTATTACAGTTATAAGTTAAATAGGCAAACAATGTTTTGAAGTAGTGATATAAATATCAGTGGTGAGATAGTGGACTGATATTTGGAAAAGGTCAACACTGTTCTGTGTCCATTTGTATATCAAAGGAACAAGAGAAAACTAGATAATTACATGATTGGTAGCTGGTTGGTCAAGATATTGAATGCTGCTAATAATATTGAACCCAATGGTGTAATCTTGTCAGCTACATATATTGTACATCACAATCATAATGAACTACATATTATGACATAATATTGACCCCAATGGTGTAATCTTGCCAGCTACATATATTGTACATCACAATCAGAATGAACTACATATTATGACATAATATTGACCCCAATGGTGTAATCTTGCCAGCTACATATATTGTACATCACAATCAGAATGAACTACATATTATGACATAATATTGACCCCAATGGTGTTAGTTCATTCTGATTGTGATATACAATATATGTAGCTGGCAAGATTCCATATTATGACATAATATTGACCCCAATGGTGAAATCTTGCCAGCTACATATATTGTATATCACAATCAGAATGAACTACATATTATGACATAATATTGACCCCAATGGTGAAATCTTGCCAGCTAAATATATTGTATATCACAATCAGAATGAACTACACATTATGACATAATATTGACCCTAATGGTGTAATCTTGCCAGCTACATATATTGTTTATCACAATCACAATGAACTACGTATTATGACATGATATTGACCCCAATGGTGTAATCTTGCCAGCTACATATACGAGTATTGTATATCACAATCAGAATTAGACATATTATGACAAGTAAAGTATGTTTAACTTATTTTTAAGTCTTTGGATACATTTAACATTCAATAATTATAAAAAGTTATTAATATAAAATTTGTTTGGCTTATTTGTGATATTCCTTCTTCAACATTTAACATCTTCAAAGAATAACAACTATACATAATTTTCATGGTATTACGTACAATTTCCACATTATTTTAAGTACTAAAATTTACTATCTAAACATAATAGTGTTCAGTCAAAACTCCTGAGAGAATTAGTATCTGGCAATGTGTACAGTGGTCTTTGCCAGGTAATAAGTTTGTTAGATTTTTTCTGATAGTTGTGGAAAGCTACATAAGGGTTATATGTGCTAGCACTCGCTAATTTGAGCTGGTAGGGTACAGAAAAAGCCACTTTCAATAAAACCCACCACCAACTGTTGGACTACTCTAATTCAATAGTCAGATTTGATCACCAGTCTTATAATGCACACACAGTTTCAAAGTAATGATTGTGATTCTGTGGCAATAAAGCATGAACCAGGGCTCAGGTTAACGGTCCAACACAATAACCACCTAGACCATGCTTGGCCTGCCAGGTAAAAAGTGATTAAATAATACCACTATGTACATACAAAAACATTTTCTCGTATATATGTATATATATAAGGTCATTCATCTCACGTACATCAAATAAGTAAATAATTGAAAAATATTCACCTTTTCAACAAACATACAATCGCCCCGTTCAACAATGACAAGCTTATTTTTTACTTCATCCTTGTTGTTTATGATCCCGCAGGCTCGCAGTGGTTGAGCTACCACAACTTCTGCTTCTACCTGTTAAGATTTACATATTATTTGGGCAAAACCACGAATTTGATGGTAAAAAAAAATTCATATAAATAATAATTACCACCAGCTACTTAGTTAGATAAACATACAATTTTACTAAACCAACAAAACAGAAAGAAAGAAATGCCTTATCATTTCTAGCTTGTGAGGATTTATATACTATGATGATTGTTTTCAATGATATTACAGTTTACTAAAATTCATGTGCAACATACTAGAATCACAAACATAATAGAGTATTTCCTTGGAAACTTTACGATTCGAATAACTATAAATGTTACTCATAGAAGTTTACTTTACTAGAAGTCTTAATATCTCACTATAAAATAGTTTTTCTAGTGACCTAAATTATGCTCTTATTGACCCTCCAAGTACTTTTTACGAGTCAATAAATATTACAGTTACTTACTGGATTCCTTCCTTTTAAGTCGGTACCAAACTGAGCTGGTCCAGCATTTAGTACCATTCGTACCTTGGTTCCAGGTAATGTAAAGTATACAACTCGTAGCTGACGCTCTACAATATAAGGGATAAGGATCTTGAAATATAACATACACTACTAGATAGACCACAGAGAATTCAAAGATACATGAAGGAGTACAGTTGGAAATTTCATATACATTATTATAAGCAACACAAAACGAAAATTATTTATATTTTATAACAACAAAAATTTTACTTTTTATTTAATTGTGGAACATACTTTTTAAGATATAATCACAAAATATTTTTTTCTACAGGATTCTCAAAAAATGCTGTAATATCAAAACGTTTTTAGGTTAAAAAGCAACGTAGAACATTCGAGTAAAAAAGAGAGATACAACCGAAATATGGACTTTCCTACCCTGCTGATTCTGGGCTTTAGAGAGTTCAATCATTTCTTGCATGAACAAAACTCCTTCTTCAGCATCATCTTGAGACTCTGCCTGAATAAAAAAATAATCTCAACTATCTGCAGGCTTCTGTCTTTTAATATTTCACTAAAAGAAGAAATCACATGATGCCTTTCAAATATGATTTCACAATCACAAAAATTATTGTAACATCTGGTAAAAATTTTCATACTGTTTTTGCATTGCTTCTAATGTCTGAAATTTTATTAATTTTTCTCTTATGTTCTATAAAAACATAACACCCTGTGAGCTTCAGCTATAATTTCCACTGAAGAAGTTTGTGACTCTTGAATTTAAACAGTATAGTTTCTATAGAAGTTCAGCATTCTTGATAACATTAAACAAACAAAAGATTCATTGTCACTTTTAATTTATTTTAATGAATAATTAACATGTTGACAAACAAAAGTTAGTGTATATTCCAGTTGAATAGATACATAATCAAACAGGCTCTTGTACAATAAGTTAGTGTATATTCCAGCTGAATGGATACATCTTTAAACAGGTTCTTGTACAATAAGTTAGTGTATATTTCAGTTGAACAGATACATATTTAAACAGGCTCTTGTACAATAAGTTGGTGTATATTCCAGTTGAATAGATACATATTTATACAGGCTCTTGTACAATAAGTTGGTGTATATTCCAGCTGAATGGATACATATTTAAACAGGCTCTTGTACAATAAGTTAGTGTATATTCCAGCTGAATGGATACATATTTAAACAGGTTCTTGTACAATAAGTTAGTGTCTATTTCAGTTGAATAGATACATATTTATACAGGCTCTTGTACAATAAGTTGGTGTATATTCCAGTTGAATAGATACATATTTAAACAGGCTCTTGTACAATAAGTTCATGTATATTCCAGCTGAATGGATACATATTTAAACAGGCTCTTGTACAATAAGTTAGTGTATATTCCAGTTGAATAGATACATATTTAAACAGGCTCTTGTACAATAATACACTGAATATGTTCTATATCTTGTAATCCTTGTAGTAGTATATTTATAGTAAAATCCCACATTAACAGTGAATATGTTAAGAGAAAAATAAACCTGCTTACTATTACTTCACAAAAGCATTGTTTTCATAAACAATTTTTTTCTGAATATATATATTTTTCTTTCGGTTTGTGTGTATATTTACATGCAATTAGTTATACCTGTTGTTTAACAACATTTGAAGGAAACAAAATGAAAGCAAAGTTTACAGTTCAACATTGTAATTTACATACAATACTAATAACCTTTAATTAAATATTTAGATCAGATGAAGATCTGGACCAGATCAACATAGTCACCAAACTATCACAGGTTGAAACTTGTTACATAGTATAAAATGGATCAATACCCAGCATCTAGAACAACAGATACCTTCTCACAAAAACCAGAAAGTTCTCACAAAACCATCTTCCTTTTAGTTTTTTCCAAAATATCAAAGGTGGGAGTCACAAAATTAGAAACCCATTTACAAAATTCAGAAAATGGGGATCTTGTCTTAACATTTTGATTACTAGTATGTAGCTGTCTTCACAGTTGTATGATTCTTTGAAAACAATGCCTCTACATTCTTGTTTGAAAAATAAAATAATCAGTAAACTCAATAAAAGTTTGTAAATTATAAATTTCAATTAAACAAAAAAAGTTAATACTGTAAAAACTAAGGCACACTTGGAAATGTAACAAGTCATATTAATTACTAAAATGTTAACACTACCCAACAGATCAAACTCCATTACAACACTTTATGGCAGAGACTAACATTTAAATTCATGTAATAAGTTTACACTTGAATCATAGTTTCTGCCCCTTTTAAGCCTGGTGGTACATTGCAACAGCTTAAACTAACCTTTGTAGAAGGTTACATGTATATTGAATGCGTAGTGTCCTATATGGAGAAATATATTTAATGTGGTTGAAATTTTCTTAGCATTTTAGTCCTAGATACTTTCAAAAATCTTGTTTGCTTCTGTTTAAGCACAAAGTTATAGAATATGCTAGCTGTGCTGTGCCCACCACAGGTATTAATACCAAGTTTTTAGCACGTAAGCCCTCAGGTTTACCACTGAGCCACTAGGGTAACTTTGGAAATCAATAAATTACCTGAGCACTGTTGTGTACTAGTTGAATTCTTCCATCAGCTAACATAACTACTGTAATTCCCATCTTTCTCACCAGAGCCAAATGATTTTTGTTGGAGGCCTGGAACTCTGAGGCAGACAGCCTACGTCGTTTTAACCTGCCACAAGGAAAGAACAAATCATGTTTCAAACCATAAAAATTCTCTACAAAAAAATTAAAAGTTCAACATCAGTTGTAATTCTAAATACTGCCAAATCTTTCACAACACTGTTTAATATTTCCTCTGTGAACTATGCTACAAAACTTTATTCTCTTAACAATCTTGATATTACGTTGGGTTAAACTTTTAGTAGCAGAAACATTTATATCAGTACTGAAAATAAATAAATATAAGAAAAGTATGTGGTAAGAAATTTGAATTTGAATCATAGGCTTAAATAATAAATGTGCAAGGAATTATCAGCCAAACTAACAATGGAATTTGTAAATAATAATATTAGTCTATACTATGGGCTCTCTGTGCTGTGTCCACCAAAACCTGATATTTAGCATCATAAGCTCTCAGAATCACTACTGAGCAACTGCAGGGAAATAAAATTATTAAAAGTATTCATGTTAAATGCTAATGATTAGCGAATAAAAAACAAAATTTGAATCTAATGTTCCCAAGAGTGCTTACAGTTCCAGGTCCTCGTTAGTCACCAAAATGCCAGAATAAAATCTTTTCTTATTAATGTCCATCTTTAAATTTTTTATCATCTACTTTTTTATAATTTTTACCTATTCTTTATTACAAACAAAACAGTGTTTTTTTGTAAAGATCTTTTATTAAAATTATGAATAATTTAAAATAGAAATAACCCAAGAGAAGTAAATTTAAACATACTATTTAACCCTATCACCACGGGTATCGTTTACTGCACGACACAAGGTTTTAGTGTCTTGCATTCGAAATTTTATTAAACTACTTTTTGTTTATATTATACCAATTAGAATAGCATATTAACTAATAATCCATATTTTAATAGTATATATGTTTTAAATTCTTAATTCTATAAGGCAATATTTACAAAAATCGTGAATTTCCCCTAGTGTGACAAATGTGACCCATATTTTTTAGGTATCTTCTCATCTCTATTGTATCCACCCCTACCAGAAACTACAAAATTAAATGTAAATTACTCACTATAAATCATCATTGCTCAAACAAACCTTAATTTTCATAGTCTTTAATTTTATTTGATTACAGAGCTATGAAATAGAAAATCAGACCCCTCCTGCCAAACCCACCTGTCAAATCCTCTCTTTCAGGATTTGTTAATAGTTCTCTTTTACGTTTAATTATATATTACCTATAACCAATAGAAAGTAAAGGTTTTCATCTATCAAATGATGTATTGTATGACATTGTGTTATGAACATAGAATAGTCACTTTCTCTACTAATACAACTTTGGTTCCCATGGGAATCACAACAGCTAGCTTGGATGCATTTGTAACAGCTCTTGTTGCATAGTTAGAAAGCCAGAAAAATTGTGATTGTTAGAGGAAATTGTGTGCTTTTTGCATGTTATTAGTCTACGTTCTTTGGTGTATTATTTAATTAAATAAAAATTATTAAATGAACTATTACCATTAGTATACAAAAGTATGGTTAAGTATCATCGATAGTCGACAGCAAAAAGAATACTCGAGTAAGTACTTTATTTCTTGTTTTTTTATGTTTATTCTTTTATTATTATAAAAGTAACTAAAATGTAAAAATGTGGATCTCGTTAGGTTAGATGAGAAAAAAAAAACAAAAAACAATATACTAAAAATATTTCAAGAGGCACGCATGCGAGCAGCTCACGGGTAATGTAATTCAATAGCGTAACGTGAGCTGCAAGGTCCCCAACAGATTTACAATTTACAATGGCACAAATAGTAGTTAGATATGGTTCAAAGGGCAATAAAATAATAAAATTTAATAATAAATAGATGCATACTGTTATGAGTTTAAAGCTACTTAGAATAAACAAATGTAGTTTCACGCTACATTTGAAGTCATTCTAGAAAGAAAAGAATTGTAATTTAGATTTATATCGATCTTTTGTTTTTGTGGTTAAGAGGTCAGTCAAATTGACTAACCTTGTATAGAGTTAGGGTAGAGAAAATAACAAAATATAAAGTTTTACTGAAAACAAACATTTGAAATGTATTTCTGAGGTTTTTGAGATTATGCAAATGAAATTTAGATTTTTCAGATGAAGAATAGTATTTTTAATCTTAACATGAAAATCACTTTGCACACAGACTATTCAAAACAAATACTTGATATATTCAAGGACAAATCTTTTTTCAGTTTATTAAAAATACTTCACTAAAAAATATGATTTTTTGTATGTGAAAGACTTGTAATGTTTACTGAAAGATTGCTGAATTTAGTGAAGATATACACACTATATCAAAAGTTAATAGTATCAAATCTATAAAGACTATACGAGTACAAAAAGGTCCTACCTATAGAAACTACACAACTTAATTCTTGCATCCTATCTATAGAAACTACACAACTTAATTCTTGCATCCAATCTATAGAAACTACACAACTTAATTCTTGCATCCTACTTGTATGAACTACATAACTTAATTCTTGCATCCTGTCTATAGGAACTACATAACTTACTTTTTTCATCCTATCTATAGGAACTAGATAACTTAATTCTTGCATCCTACTTATAGGAACTACATAACTTAATTCTTTCATCCTACCTATAGGAAGTACATAACTTACTTTTTTCATCCTACCTATAGGAATTACATAACTTAATTCTTGCATCCTATCTATAGGAACTACATAACTTAATTCTTGCATCCTATCTATAGGAACTACATAACTTAATTCTTGCATCCTATCTATAGGAACTACATAACTTAATTCTTTCATCCTACCTATAGGAACTACATAACTTTTATAACATTTCTCTGTCACAAACCTAATTTAAAATTAAAAAAAATATATGAAAAAAAAATTTTGTTTTCTTTGATTTGTATTTTATGTTGTGGCCCAGTTAAAATGTTTATTTGTTGAACTTTGTGCAAAACTGTTCGAGGGCTATTTGTGCTAGCCTTCCATAATTTAGAAGTGATAGAGAAGAAAGCTAGTTAACACCACCCACCATCTACTCTTTTCAAACCAAATGATGGGATATGACCATTACCCTTTAACTCACCAAATGCCCTGAATTGTGGAGCACAATTAATGTAACAGGTAACAAGGCATGAACCATGCTAATCACTGGGCCATGATCACCCAGGCTCAGACTATCGTAAACTAATTTCTTACAAAGAAACATCTTTATTTCATTTAATGAAATTATTCAAAAATATTTGGACTATTTTTTTTATCACTAAATACTTTCATGGACAATTATAGTGTTGAACATAATATGTTAGTAAATATTTTAATCTCAAAAAACTAATTTAAAATTATAAAAAAAAAATCAGATTTTCTTTGAATTGAAAAATCAAAGCTATAGAAAGTACTAGAGAAAAAGTTAAAATCAAGCAACAATCAACACACCCTGACTTATAAGTTGGACATGTGCCTTCAACAAGGTTTTTCAAAGGTTGCCGTATGGAATGAGCAAAGTTTCTGTCTTCAGGGAAGAGGTAATGTGTGTTAGGACAGCTGCTAGAAAAATCCTCTTCTACTAGATCTAATATGTGTGACTTGGGAGACTGAAAATATAAGATATTGTTACTTTACCTATGTATGTCCCAATAGGATTTATCCATTTACAAACCAAAAATCTGGGAAAACTTATATTTGTAGATTTTTTTTTATAACTTCTCCCTGTTATCTATGTACCTCCCACAATAAGTTAAGGAGAAGTCACTTTTGACAAATACTTTTTTGTTATAGAAGTGAACAAACACCTCCATTATTTCAAAAATACATTAAAATTTTGCTGTTCACAGGAATGACATACAAATGAAACATGCTGTCCTATCAATTCATCAAAATTAACTCTTATGTCATTAGTACACCATTCTAAGTAATATGGCCAGTTCCATCTCTAATATTACCTTACTAAAATCTTGGATAAAATTAAGCTTTAGCTAATACTTACTTAATTAACTATTCAGTACTAAAAGTGTTCTATTTATAATTAGTACTGCTGTACGAAGTTAGGAAAATGAAATAAAGCATATTTTTGTAATCCTTACTAAATTCAGAACAAATTAACAAAACAGCTGTAATAACAAAATACTTTTGATCAGGTCAAGAAATATAACATTTTCTGAACATACTATACTAACATATTACAACATAGCTACTCACTGGAACGACTGTTGCATTACTGAGACGAGCTAGACTTAAAGGAAACAGATGGGCCTCTGTGGTAAACACGAAGTCATCAAGATTGATGATGAGTTCTTCTTTCAAGGAGAATAACAAGTACAAGTACTTAAAAGTTTCAGCCAAAACAAAGGAGTCCATTCTATAAAAGTCAAATTATAAAGAGAAGTATATACCAATACTATATTTCTAAGAACTTAGATGTCATACACACCTAAACCATAATCATTCAGATTAGTGCTTATTGACCTACTGACATAACCCTATATTATGAACTTAATCCGTTGACACATACAAGTTGCCATCATACAAGTTAAATCTTAAAATGTAGCAAATTTATATTGGTCGACTTACTAAACATCTTTAAAATTCTTATAAACATCAGTAATACAGGGTAAGTTTGTGTAAAATGACATTAGATTAAAATGAATTCACTGGTGTTGTTCCTTCTAGTCTGAAATCTTGAAGTACAAAACCAGTAATATTATTTTACTGTTATCACACAAATTTCACACACTTCTCAAGTTATAATACACAGTATCCTTATTAATTCTATAAATGAAGCAGTCTCTATATTATCAGGCTGTTCAAACAAAATACATCAGGAGCATTGTAAAAAATGGCATTCGATTCTATCAGGGACAATGCCAAAAAATAGCATTAGACCCCATCAGGGACACTGTAAAAAATAGCATTAGACCCCATCAGGGACACTGTAAAAAATAGCATTAGACCCCATCAGGGACACTGTAAAAAAATAGCATTAGACCCCATCAGGGACACTGTAAAAAAATAGCATTAGACCCCATCAGGGATATTGTAAAAAAATAGCATTAGACCCTCTAATTCAAAGAAGGATAACAAGTATCCAATAGAAAGTATCACATAAATCCTATCACGTGAAAAATTTGAGTTCAATATATGATACAACAAAGATGTATTATATAATATGTTTAAAATTGAAATAAAAGAGCTATTGCTTTTACAAATCTATAAGAAAATAACAGTACCAACTGTTGGCTGTCCATGTAACTACTTCGCAGGGTGTGGATGGATCTTCACTAAAATTGGTATGAAGGTTCATTAGGTTCATGCATTTTGCAGTTTCTATGGGTATTTTTTACCACTACTTCACCCCCTGTTGATGGATCTTCACCAAATCTGGCATGAAGGTTTGTTGGATCCATGGGGAGATACATACAAATATTCAGTTTTGCAATTTGTGGTTTTTATGAGCATTTTTTACCACTACTTTGCCTCCTGTTGATGGATCTTCACCAAATTTGGCATGAAGGTTTGTTGGATCGATGGGAAGATACATGCAAATTTGCAGTTTCACATTTTGTGTTCTGCAGTTTTTATGGGAATTTTTTACAATTACATATAAGTGAAGCAACTTTTCATGTCCTAAGATAACCTTTCATTAATCATGAATTTATATAACTTCCATCCAGGGGATGAATATTTCATCTAGTATTTAAATAAACTTCTGCTTTTAAATATCAATCAATAGTAGTTATTCCTATATATATATATATATATATATCTGATATATATTATGATATATATGATATATATATATATATATATACATATATATCATAAGATTTTTTACTTACCTGACAATTTTATGACTTTAAAATAAATACTTTAAAGTTCAACTTATCAGATATGTTTTTTACAGGATTTTATCTGCTAATCAGTAAATAATTTTATTCAAACAAGAATCCCAAAAGATAAAAAACAGTTCTGTGACTCACCTGTCCTCGTGACTACCAGTACGCACATCTTTAACAGCAGCAAACCCACATGGGACACGAGCATGGGTCTGAAGACTTTCTAATACCTTTTTTCCTGCTTCCAAGTAGTAAGAATCTTCTGTTGCCTGAATGTATATATCATGAAACATGAAAACAATGCACATAAATCAAACAGAATAGAAATAGATTGTAGATATATATTAAAAGTGGCACACAAAAATTTAAAACTATCCATTTACTTTGTGATAACTAACATTTCATTTCACTCTATTAGAATGAGTATCACTACGTAATTTTTTAAACAATAATGTATAAGAATACTTTCAAATGTAATTTGAAGTTTCCCACACCGCGGGCTTCTACAAAAATAGTTATTAGGGTATTAACTTTAATAATTAAGTGAGACACTTTTCTAATAGTTTGACAAGCTACTGGATTGTGTGTTAATATCACAGTTCTGGTATTTTCAAATGACAGTTGAATAAATGAAGTTACGAGAGCTGTAAACAAGAACAAAAACTTCTTTTGTGAAACTATACTTTATTCCTATATTACAACCACGGTTCACACTGCATTGTTCAGATCAATTTCAAGCACTTTCTAAGCACTCTCAGCATGTTTTTCACGCACTTTTTGAAAGCTAAAATTTACATCCAAATCAATGGGATTCCACTGAAATTTTATAAAATTCCTATTTATATTTGTTCAACATATGAATGTAGACTAAAAAAAAGAAAGACTTTATTTATTGTGCTCAACTCTGCAACATGCATTAAAGTTATATATACCAATATATTCTGCTATTATAATATTCTCAAGTACTTTTGATAAAAAAAACAGACCCTTATTCAAGTACTTTTAAGATCTTGAAATTCCATTCTCAATTCCAAGGACTTTCAAGGATGCATATGTACCCTGTACATCACAAGAAACAAAAACTACACTATACCAAGTGCACTGTGGAAAGAGAGTTCAAGTCACAGTGTCTTAAAAAAATCTTAAAGATGATTCTTATGCTTCTAGTTTTAACTTCTGTAATTAGTTATCACAATACACTCCTTTATTCAATTATTATCATACAATTTTGAATTATATACTACAAAAGGTAGTAGCATAAAAAAGCATAACATTATATTCGATGTTAATGTACTCTTCTAAGCTGGCAACCATTCATGACAGTAATGTAAGTATGTTTAAGTAAATACAACTTCTACACCAGAAACAGCTGTTCTACTTCTTTTTGTGTAGGTGAATATTTTCAAACCCAAATCTTTAATACTTTAAATCTACAGCTAACCTTAAAGAGGAAATAGGTGCTCTCCACAAATTCAGGCCGTAATGGATGTTGCCCCCAGTGGACTTGAAAATCAGTGGTGAAGGCCTAGTAACAGCAAAGAAATAACATCTATATTTAATGTGCCAGTCAGATATTTTGTATACAATTAATTCAAGTTAGCCCTACTGCAGCTGGCTCATGTACTTTACATGACCTTGTGACCACCATGTAACCATGGTGGTATACATACTATGACTCTGAAAGTACTTAGCACATCTTCATGAAATTTGGCAAGCTTCCAGTAAATGTTAAAAAGTATTTCATTTCAAATTGAGTGTTTTTTACAAAATCTTTCTCTGTAATTAAATGGTGTCAGAGTGTTGACATATTTGAGTGCAAAGTAATTTTCAGGTTAAGATTAAAAATACTTTTCTTCATATAAAACTTTTCAAATTTCATTTGAGTAAGCCCTAAAACTTCCTAAATAAATATAAGAACTTTATATTTTACTTGTTATTTTTTATATTGTAACTCTAGACAGGTTGGTCAATTTGACCAACCTCATAACCACCATAAAAAATTAGGAAATGATTTTAAATTACTCTTTTTTTTTTTCTGGAATGATTGCAAATTGTAACAAGAAGCCACAATTATTTATTCTAAATAGCTTAAAGCTTCTAACAGTATACATTTACTTGTATTGTTTTATTGTCTTTTGAACTGTGACTAACAAATCACTCAGTGAACGTGTAGCTCACATCACCCTAACAAATTATGTAATGTACAAGCTACTCACGAGCTTATCTTGTGAAGAATTTGTATTATCATCATTATTCTTTATCTTACCTAATCTAAACTAAAAGTTTCTAATTTTTACATTTTAGTTACTTTTATAATGATAAAGAACACATACGAGAAATAAGAAATATAGTACTTACCTGGGTCTTATTATTCTTTGCTGTCGATGAAATTTAAGCCTACTATTTTGTACTAACGGTACTACCACACTAAATAATTTTTTATATAATTAAATTCTGTAACCAAAAACATAGAATAATGCCTTGCAAAAATCAGACAATCAAACTTTTTCTGGCTCTCTAAATGCGCAATAAGAGCCTCTAAAAATTCCGCTAAACTCCTTGATGTGTTTCCTGTGGGAATAAAGTTTGAACTGGAAGCAAAATAGATAAAATAATGTAATATTAAATGACAGAGAGAACTATTGGCAATTTGTGAAAGACAGAATGTGACAGGTGAGTGAGGCAAGAGGGAGTCTGATTTTACAGTTTGTTGCTCTCCAATCAATTAAGATTGAAGGCTATAAAAATTAAGCTTTGCCTAAGTAATAACTATTTTATAATGAGTAATTTATGTTAAATTCCTTATTTCTTGGAGGGGTGGTAAATACATTTGAGAAGAGGGAAGGCTTAGAGAACAAATGTCATAATATTCATACTAGAGGAGATTAAGGATTTTCTAAAAATATTTCTCTATAAAACTAAGAACTTAAATCTTACATAATATTAAAATTTGATTTATTAGTTATGTTTTGATGCTATGTTTATTCATATACATTGTTAAAAAAAAGTAGTTTAATTCAATTTTGAATGTAACTCTGTAAAAGGTTGTGACATGCATGCTTTTACCTACCCGATGCAAAAGGGTTAAAGTTTTGCTATAATAATGTTTTTTCATTATTTCATAAGTAGGTGCAACATATGCACATTTTAGCTTTAAGGTTTATTTATCAAGTAATATATATGTATGTTTGCATCAGCCACCAAGATTCTCAAAGTAACAAATACTATACTACTTAATGTTTTGATGAGGAGATACGATAAAGCATATGTCTTATTCAACTGATTTAGAATTTTAAGAGCATCTCACATAAAAACCAATAGAAACACAAGACAAGCACTCAAATATTACAGCATTTCTTTCATTTTCTCAAATGATTACTTAATCTTGGCAACAGCTTTTTCTTTCTTCTTAACTAAATTCAGTAGAAACCATCACAGAATCTACAACTTCACAAAGTTTGTTTGTGTTAGCCATCCCTAACTTTAAACTAATAGATGAATGGAACAACACCCACTACTAACTCTTGGGCTACACTTATCTGACCCATGGAACAAAGAGTGTAGATTGACTTTATGGTAATGGGACACAAACCATGAATTCTTGATTCATAATTTGAGCACTCTCACCACAAGGCTATACCTAACTTCCTTACTTTTTAAAGGGATGCAGAAACATAACTTCCTACCAGAGGTAACAATTGTCTCATATTAACTATAGCCTTGTGCTATGCAGTAACATAACTTCCTACCAGAGGTAACAATTGTCTCATATCCTTACTTTTTAAAGGGGGGGGTTAGCATAAATCTATACCTAACCCCCCTTTAAAAAGTAAGG